AATAAAGTATCCTTATTTATTATATAAAAGTTGATTTATGAATTTAAATGATTTATTTTATTTTTTCTTTATTAAATAACTTTTGAATAATTAAGAGAGGATAAAAAATAATATTATATATACAATTTATCTCATAATTAATATATTTTATAAAAAAAACTCAATTGTCTATTAATTATGTCAAAACTTACCAATATATATAATTAGAGTTAGATATTGACACCAGATATTAAAATTGAACATTTATATTATTTAATAATTTTTTATAAAATAAAAAATTGATCAAATTTTAAATTATTTTATATTGTTTTCATTATCATATATATATAAATTAAATTTTATATGATTTAGATATTTGTAAGTATATTATCTAAATTTTACGTATTTTTATATTTAAAAAATATATTACCTATTAAAATAAAATAATGTGAAAATTACTGATTATTTTTATTTTTATATAAAATTTTATAAATTTAAATCACTTGATACAAATTTTAAAATAATAATTATATTAATTAATTTTATATTTCATAAGAGATTATTAAATTATGTAAGTGATGAAATTTAATACTATGCACAGTAAATTAAATTAATTAATTAATTTTAAAAAAAATATATTTGAATCTCTAAAAATGAATGACACTAAATTGGTTTTCAAATGATTATTTCCTTTATGGTAATTTTTAATACACAGGAAGGATATTTTAATTTTGAAGTAACACATTTTTATATGCTAAAGATTGCACTGTAATATTTTGGATAAACGAAAAACACGTCAATTTTTATCAAGAAAGATGCTTACTAATACAAATTCGTATGGTAGGAAAACTCTATACAAAGATGCACTTGATTTGCGTCAAAATTTTTACTTTTATTTTTTAATTTAACATTTGTTCAACAATATGCAAACATATAGGGTCGTAATGCATTCATAGAAAATAAATAAAATTAGTATATTTTTTTTTACCCTTTAAATTTACGGCTATTTGTAATTTTTTTAGAATATATTTATCTTTTAAATTTTATTTTCACCTTAAGTTATTTATTTAATTATAAGGGTGTTAAATCTTTATAAAAACTAAGTTCCTTATGAAACTATAAATTGGACCATTTTGATTCTTTTAACTCTTTATGTGTAGGTAACAAAACACAATAAATTTTACGATCCACGTGTTAGTATTGAATAAAAACTTAATCAAATCATTATACAAAAACAAAGTATTATGTTTTGAAGTAAACAAATCATGAAAAAAATATTTAATTGAAGAACATCTCAAACGATTTCAATAATCATTGAAAATGAAAAAAAAAAAAAAAAAAGATATAATCTGTGATATCAAAATTTGATAAAATTAATGAGTAACTTTTATGCTTTGATCAGTCATTTTAATTAATAAAATTATTCAAAATTTGGATATGTTGATTAAATTATAATTTTAAATATTATAATTTTTTTCAGATTTTGATAAAATCTAATGTTGTTATAATAAAAATACTAACTTAAAATGAAAGTAAAATTTAGAGAAATAAATTAAATAAAACAATTAAAAGATGAAATGAAAATTAACCTTAAATTTGGAAGGTAAATAAACTAGTTTTACCTTGAAAAAAACTAATTTGGTGGTAAAGTAATGCTGTTTTATTATGTATGTACATGTTTAGTTTTGATTTCATTAATACACAAGTTGAGTTTAAAAAATATCATTAATATTTAATCGGATTCCCATTCGTATACTTATTACAAAACGTAAAATGAGTAATTAGAAAAATAAAATAAAACCGTGCATCCTACAAGATCGATAATTAGATCATTTTTTATTTTTTATGATAAGTGAAGTAAAGTCAGTGCACATAATGAACTTGGTTTTAAAGGACTATGATTTCTGTTTTATTGGCTTCATAGTTATTGCGCTCCTACTGTATGGAATCAATGCTGAGTTAGTGCATAGTCTATTTAGCCTCCAAGTTGCTCAACCGATTATCAAAACTAAAGTGCAACCGACTTCTCACTATCCACCATGTGCCACTTTCCAAATATGATTAATTTAGCTCAGAATAACTTACCTTCTGTTTTTTGCATCTGTTCATTTATTTTCATTTGTGTTCTAATTATTCGTGTAACTTAGTATTATCTTTCTTTTCTCTCGCTTAAAACAATTTTAATAAGAGTTGCTTAAAAATAAGTAACTGTTGTGTAATAACTTACATGATCAAAGTTGTTAAAAATAATGTAAAAAATGTGTAAGAATAATGTAAGTCTTTCTTAGTTAGCTCCCAAACAGAAGATGGAATGATGAGTGCATTTTTATGATTTATTGCTCCACAGTGGTCCTGATTTGGCAAAGCTTTCCTCTGGCCGTAAGCGGCGGTGCTTTTGATGGTGATTCTTGCTAATTGCTGTGAGTGGCTGAAACAAGTTATAGGCATACACAAGGAAAATTCTACCAAGTAGATACTTTATTTGTTAGATTTTCGTAATGTGGAAGTTTTATAAAACACGAATTAGAAAGAGGTTGTTACACTGGCAATCACTCTAGTTTGTTGAGGAGAATCATCACTGCCCTCACATTTCTTCATTCCTTTACCGGTTGTTAGATTTAATTTTATTTTCATCCATTTTAATATTACAAAACCAACATACAATAAATCAAAGTTAAAATCGATCACATTTGTTCTGTATTATAATTAATTTTTATATTATAAATTCTTTTTTTTTTGTTTTGTATCCCAGGTTCATTTCTTAAATTCTCTTTCTCTTTATGATATATAGGAGACCGATTCAAAATTAATTATTTGAGAGAAAAATACTCAAAAAAAAATAACATAATTATTTTAACAAATCATATGATTATAATTTTTTATTATAAAAAATTATACACGCACATAAATTGAGGAGAGAGAGGCTCAGATCCCCCATTTTACTTTGCTTTTATCTCTACTTGTAGCATGTGACTTTACCATTACTATAAGCTTTTTATATATATATATATTTTGAAAATTATAAGTTATTTTTAATTTCTTTTTATCTTAAGAATTTTTTTTCAAAATTTAAATTTAGTTTCTTATTTTTATATTATTTTTCATTTCAAATCTTATCTTAACAATGAGAGTTGTTATTTGAAGGTGAAAACACTTGACTTGGTAAGTTAAGGCCGTTTGGAATAGTCTATAAAAATATCTCATACTTTTTATTATTTTTAAATATACCATAAATTTTCATATAATAAGAGCTTATAAATAGTAAAATAGATATATGGAAAAAATAATAAACGCATTAAAAAATAGAGGATAGTAAAATAAAATATAGGATAAGTATATGAAAAATTCTCATTAGCAATTTTTAAATCTGCTAGCATTTAAAAAAAATAGTATTTTTTAATTTTTAAATTTTTTAAATTCACTTTTGACAATTTTTGAATGTCTATATTTTTGTAAATTTTCTAAAAATTTTATCTTTTCATAGATATTATTTTAAATATTATATAAAAATAAAAATTTCTACAAATAGCTATTATTATGTCTATCTATCTATTATCACATTTAAATTAGTATTTTTAAAATACATATATTTATTATTATTTTGATCAACTAAAAATAATAAAATAAAAATTATCTAAATAAAAGTGACAAAATCCAGGATAGAATAATTTATTTTAGTTGTTTATTTTAAATATTTATTAAACTTAAGAATGAAGTAACTTATCATATTAAATTATTATCTTATTTTATCTTCATAATGTGTTACAAAATATTACGATAAGATAACCTTTTTTTACTACCTTCTTATTTATACTTTATTTTTTAATATTTTATAAAAAATAATTATTTTAAAATATAACTTTAAAAAAATTTACATAAAAATATTAAATAAATATTTTTAATAATATAAAAAATATTTAAATAATTTTATAAAATAAAAATTTAATTTTTTTAATTATAACTATTTTACCAAAAAATTGATTTTAAAAAAAATTTAAGAAAATTATTATATTTTAATATCAAAATTTTATATTATATATACACATAAAATTTTTTAAAATTAAATGAAATTTTTAAAAATGATAAAAAAGTAATTTTATTATTTAAATTTTAATTATATTATATTTTATTACTTTTATTTGTCTCAAACATTAAATGAGAAAATATAATATTATCTGTTATAATATCTTAGTGTATATATTTGATAAGATAAAAGTTTATCTTTTTTACCCTAAAAATATAACAAAATCAGATTGGGCGAACAAAGACGGTTAATGAAACAAGAGGCCCAAATATCAGCACTTACAGAATAAATTTTACGGAAAAGCAAAATACACGTAAGGTGCATGTTCAAGAACAACACATAGTAGTAATAAATCTTTTGTTCAGAATATTTGAAGTGATATGATAGGTAAACCAATTTTATTCATTCATTTAGGATTTGTGAAGAATTCCTAATGTACTTGTTTTTGTGCATACGCAAGTGCTCTGTTGCTCTCGTTTAATTATTTTTTAATTAAATTTTAAGAATAGATACACTCTTTTACTTTATAAATAAGCTTAGAATGTTGTGTGATAGATACCACTAACTAATTAAAGGGGAGACATAAAAAGAAAAATACTCTGATGAACCTCTAAGCTAATTTCGTATTTTGGGATTTTGGGCTACACAGAAGTAGAGAACTTAATTTGGTTTCGTATGGAAAATTTTTTTGACTTGATAAAAAATCGAAAATACTAGCGATTTGAGTCCATAACGTGATATTATATCCAATCATACATCTTCGTTACATTTTGCAATCAGAATTTAATATAACCACCAATCATTCAGCATTAGTGAGTTGCACATCACAACAAAATAATTATCCATTGTCGCAGTTTCTATTCCGATGAAAATATATTTCATGGCCCCATATTTTGTTTCGATAGCAATCCTACTCTGTGAAGCAAGACGTACAAGCGAAATTTGCCAAAAGGGTGACACGAGTCCGCAAAATAATCCGATTTGAGCCTGCAAGAAAAAGATATTTACATTGAATTTAAACGAGCAAAAACCCATTTATAAAATTATTTTTCCTTCCAACGCTGATTTGGAGAAGCCACAAAGCAATTAATAGAAAAAGGTTATTCGATTTGGGCAGCAAGGTTTGCATGTTACTTATAGCTCTTTTCCTGTTCACGATCACACTTTCTTAATTTTGGGCGCTGAATAATTAATGTCACTGTTATAATGTGTTTTGACATTTTAGCTTGCACACACAAGTCATATTTTTATATGTGCCCCCCAAAAAAAGTCATAATTTTTGGGTTGTGTGTCTTTTGGTGGAGGAATGCTTGTCACCTACTCCTTTTAAGTCCCCAATTCTCCTAAAAAACTTTTGAGTGAGAGAGAAGAAGAAGGGAAGGAGTAAGTAAAAGGGTTCTTCTGTTCTTCATCTTCTCAACTTGTGTGGTGGTTGATGATGGAAAGGCACAAATGCAAGCTTTGTTCAAGGTCATTTGCAAATGGTAGAGCCTTGGGTGGACACATGAAGGCTCACCTTGCTACTCTTCCCCTTCCACTTAAGCCTCAAACATTCACTGACTCTGCTAGTGCTACTTCTTTGTCATATTCCTCCTCTTCTTCTTCTTCAGAATCGGAACAGGAAGAAGACGAAGAACAAGTGGTGGCAAATAGAGAATCAGAGGAAAAGTCTCTGATTTACGGGTTAAGGGAGAATCCCAAGAAAAGCTTCAAGCTTGCAGATCCTGAGTTCTCTTCTTTTGCACCTGATACTGCTTCTGTGGTCCAAGACAGAGAGAGCGAGACCGAGTCAAAGAACCCAACTGGCCAACGATCCAAGAGGAACCGCAAATCCAACGTGGCCTGTTTCATGGTGTCCACAACGCCACCACCCACCGACCCAGAGCCTCTTAGCTCCGTTTCTGACACTTCCCCTGAAGAAGACGTCGCCATGTGCCTCATGATGCTCTCTAGAGACAAGTGGAAGAGAAACAACAATGTGGTAGAGCAAAGACCAAACGGGAGCTTCAACAAAGAGATCAAGTTCAAGAGAGTTCGCGGGAACCTCCGCTGTCACAATTGTGGGAAATCCTTTCGATCTTCTCGAGCATTGGGTACTCACACAAGTATATGCTTTGAAGCAGGGCCTAAAGCTGAAGGAAATAATACTACTACTACTACTAATAGCAAAAGCAAGGTTTTTGAATGTCCGTTTTGTTATAAGGTGTTTGGGTCTGGTCAAGCACTTGGTGGACACAAGAGATCTCATCTTATCCCTTCTTCTTCAACTGCTAAATACAAAGAGAGCTTCATAGATCTCAACTTGCCAGCTCCGGTTGAAGAAGATGACCTTAGTGTTCTTTCTGATGCCTAATTTACCCCTCGCTATGTTTTATTGGGTAAAGTGAATTTTTCTTTTTTAAAAAAAGTAGGTGAGAATATTTGTTTATGTTTATTGATAGATCAAAATGCTTTTGATTCTACAACAATGGTAGCTGAGTATAAGTTATGTTTTCACTTTTCACCACTGGCTGCTATGTCTAGTGTTACACAGCGAGTGAATTGCTAGTTAACAGTTGAGTTTTATTCGTTTGTACTCAACTCGGTTCATCGTACTACAAGTCTTCATCGTTGCAATGCAAATTTGGGATTTAGTTGTGGACCAATAACTGTGGCCTGTAAAGTACTAAAGCGCTCCTGCAATTCTGTTTTAATGCTTGGGTTCTGCTCCTGCCGATCTCTAACATGTCCTTCCAGCTTGCATTTTTTTTATTAAAATAAACAAATTAGTGCCTTTTTTTTTCTCACTTTATTATTGCCTTCTTTTGTGCTTGTACTGTTTTCTAGTTGAGTTTATGTTGGTATTAGTGTGAAGCATGAAAGCAATGATTCCTAAGACCGAGTCAGAAACTGTTACATGATGAAAGAAGCCAATAGAACTATACAATTCGTTTCTTTTCTGTTCTGATGCTCTTGGGGTTTCAGAGATAACTAGGAAAATTTTAAAAGCCACCTCAATTTCTGAACGAGCTTCTTATTTTGGTGGGTTAGAGATAAGTATATTTTGTTTTATTATAGTAAACTTTTATCTTCCTTGGAAAGAACGAAGTATCAGGGTAAAAGGAGGAGGTCCCATGCTATTCTGGCAGAAGAATCGGTCAGATTTGTCATATGAAAAAAGCATATGCTGATCAAATGCTCGTTAAAATAGATTAATAAACTAATTAACTGTGTCTAGCAACTGAGAACAATTTTTTTTAAAAATATAATAGTAAATAGTAATAAATTTGCCACAGAAATTTAAAAAAGTGGTAAGCAGGGGTCTTTTTTTTTTTTTGTTCATGTGACATATGTTGCTTCACAAGAATTTTACCTAAACAGAATAAGAGGGCATGTAGTAAGTTCTGTCACAAGCCGAATAATAACGAGAAACGAACATGAAGTATAGTTATGGCTCATTGATTTCGATTCTTTAAGATAGACATTCAATGAAGAAAGAAAAGCAAGGAAAGAGGACAAATGAGAAGCCAGCTCTGGTCCTAAGTAGCTTGCTATCCAGGATGCTGCGTAATTGGGATTGGAGGGTGAAATTTGGCCATTAGATAAGATCAATAGACGACAAAATTTACGTTACAAAATTGTCGTCTATTCCCAACCTCAATGTGCTAATTGTCATTTGTGATAAACCTTACATAGTTCATACACTACTTTATCCTTGTTCTGAAAGGCAATATATCTATTTCCTAATCTACACGTTTTAGAAATCATTTTGCATTTTGGCACCGGATACCAAATTTACCTTTTTTCTCTTCTTTTTAATATTGTTAAATTGGCCAGCATTTTAACGTCGTTGTGAAAATAACTGTTGATTTTAAAAAGGATTTTTCACTGCCAAAACGATTATGATATTTGAGTCTTGAGAATCTTGAAGAGGGCCCTTCCAACTAAGGTATGAATAACAACTACAACAGCGAAAAAATGAGAGTGGAAAATGAAAGGAAATATTATCAACGTCATTCAACTTTTTCTATTTCTCAAGGATTCCCACATTCTTCCCTTACCTTGCGGGTTATCAACGTCATTCACCAATAAAGAATAAACATTTTAAATAAAACTCAAATTCGGGTAAACTAAATCACAGATTCACAAATCCTCCAAATGAAAATTCCCGTGTGGCTAATCTCTGTCTGGGTGTTTACAATTTGATTAAAAAGCAATGACCTGTCAAAGCTGAACCAACTCCCACTGCTAAAGGAGCAAAATGCCATTTACTACAAGAGAATTTGTATTTGTATATATTTTTTATAGAATAAAGAGAAAAAATAATAAGAAAATGAATGTGTGCGATAAAATAATTAATATGATTAAAAGAGATAAAAGTAATATTATTAAAAATATATATATCAATAATATGATTCTCGCCACAAAAAAGGACGTGTGACAAAGACTAATGGCCATTAAAGTCACGTGTATGACACTTGGAGAATGCTTCTTAAAAAAAAAAAAAAAAACTAATCTGTGACGGAATCTACAGTAACCACTTACTTATAAACTAAGGAGATAAGGGATGTCATTGTAATTTCTCAAATAATATGGAATGTTAACGCTAACCTAACTTAGGAATACTATGAGTAAAGATTTAAAAACCCCTAAAGTACGTGGATTAGTCAAAGGGTGTAGTTTAATGCTTTTTATCTTTCATTGAAGTATCGACACGTTATTTAGCGCTGGATTACCTACAGTTTAGAGTTTTAAACAATTACATTGTGTGAAGTTTGAGATCCAATAATTCATAATTTCTTAATTAAATTTTACTTTATTATTATAGCATAAAAACAAAAATTTTAAGGGAGCAGATCCTTTATGGTGAGAAGAACTGCAGAGGATCTTGATCTAGATAATATCAAAACTTTATTTTGATAGCTTTAACAAAAAATAAAATAAAATCTCATTCCATGAGATTATCTCATATCATTTGGGTGCAAAAACTGAGAAATTCACATTTGTCTTTCACCACCATTTTCAGTGATATAGCATTAAAGGTGATGTAATAAACATCAAAGTACAGAGAAAACAACCTCTGCTTTGTCCTTCGAAAATCTGGGAATTTCCTACACCACTAATCCTTTATATATAGTAGTGCTTATAGTAAGATAAAAAGTAAACATAAAAATGAGGTGAAGTCCTTATGAATTCCCAATAAACGAGTGATCTCTAATATTTATCTTATCTAAAAAGGTTTAATATAATTAGTAGACAGTTGATCTCTTAAACTTGTTGGCTAGGGGTCAATTCTTACTTGTGTGTCTCAATAAAAAATGTTAAATGAGGTAAAGCTCACTTTGATAAAATCTACATTTAAAAAAGAAAAAAGCCACCGTTGTCGATTGGGGAATTTATTGGGGCACATGAAACAATTAAAGATATTGAATAAAAAAAAATTGTCTCTAATAGAAATTAAGAGTATACTAATAGAAATTATCTCAATATTTGAGAGTTTTATCAGACGAAAAAAACAGTGTATGCTCTAATTATTCTTTTCCATTTTCAGATATTTTATTGATAAAAAAAAATGATCAAAGCATGTGTTGTAATAAGAAACTTGAAAGCATTCACGCCTTATGGACCTATCTACACAACGCACAAACCTTCATTTCCTAGTTTTTGTTGGAGAGTTAAGTTTGATAGACGTTACTGAAGAATGGTTTCGCATTTGGATCACATGCAGCATCAAAGTTTAGGGACCGCAACCCAGCTGGATCCTCCTAAACAAAATGCACTTCCCGCATTTTTTAATACTAACTTACTGCATCTTAATTATTATCAACTCCATAGTCAATGTTCAGTTTCTTCGTTTCTTTAAAGTTTTGTTTATAAGTTAGTTTTTAAGATGAGAGAATGAATGAGAAAAACTTATGCTGTGATTATTTTTGTTTGACAAACACACTTAACTTAACTGTGATGATAAAAAGAAAATTAAAAATAGTGACTCGACTTTCTAAACAGAGAAGACAATTTCACAAATAGTCTCACTTTTTAGATATATTATAAAAATTATTTAATAATCAAAAGTTCAAAAAGTAATGAAATAATATTTAAATATTTTTATTGAAATATATAAGAATAATATTATAGACTATAAAAACTTATAAATATTGTATGGTAATAAAATATTTTATCAATTATTTAAGGAATATAATGATTTTTTAATAATATTTAACAAATATACATATAGTTTTTTAAGTTTAATTTGTTGATTTACCAACATAAATACTTTTAAATTACTAACCGATTAGAATACATGACAGGTATAATTTTTTAAAGATAAGCTATTATATAAATAAATGACTTTGTTGATATGATAATTTATGATTATACGAATATATGAAAAATCTTTTCTCTATTAGTACATTAATTCTAATGAAATTTTTAACTTTTATTCTGTTATTATTTAACATAAAAAATTGCTAATAATATTGTAAAAACTAATATATCTAATTTGTATATTTGTTGAAAATGAAAAAAAAAATTATGTTACCAATATTTCTTTTAATATAAGGTAAATGTCTTATTAAAGTCTTGCATTATTTTTACACATTTAAATATGAATTTATTATTATTAGATAAAAAAAATCTATGTGATTATTATGTGATCATTTAAATATGATACTAAATTTTTTTATAACAATAATTGTTCACATTTTTCTTTTGAAGTGTATGGAATTTGTGAGAAGAAAATGATAAGAAGAAAACAAATAATTAAACGTGGAGTAATGTTGTCAAACGAAATAAGAGATAAAAATTTAAATAGTAATATATAAGAAAGAAATAATAATAGTAATAAATATGATAGATATTATTTTTTTAAAATTTAAGAAGCTTTAATGATACAATTGAAAAGTACGTAACTATAACTAAATGAACAAGTCAAAATTTATATGGCAAGAAGTTAGTATCCATATGAAAAAAATGCTAGAAAAAATAATTTTAATATATTATTACCATCATCGTTATGTTAGATTTTATATACATATTAATTTATTTAAGAGTTAGATAATCGGTCTCTTCAGTGATTCAGTCTTCAAGTTCGATTAGCATATTTAGTAACAAATTTGTTGGTTTATTTAAAATATTTTTTTTATAGAAAAAACATATATTATTAAAGAGAGTTCAAGGAGAACTCAAAAATTATATACAGAACGAAAAAATTAATACTTACTCAAAAAAATAAAAAGTAAAAACACACTTATACATAACTAAGACGGATGCAATTTCGTGAGTTCAAATATCAATCAGCTAACAAAATAATTTTTTTCTTACTAACAAGTGATAGTCATTTTCAGAATTTTAAAATATAGAATCTAAAACTTCTCTCTCATCCAAAATACCATTGGAAAACATAATTCAATTTTTATGTAACCACAAAGACCACATTATATTTACTCAGATAATTAATAAACATATCCCTTTTTTTTTTACTACAACCAACACCAACTCAAGAAAGCAAGTGAGTCGATAAATTTGAAGGCAAAATCAATGAGAATTCAAGCCAACATGCAGTAAAGTACTAGATTTAAAATGAAACTGAGCACATTAAAAATAAATGAATT